TAACAGTTGCAAGTTTTTTTTTGGAGAGCCACATAGGAAATATTTTAAGTTTGGCAGGCCAGTTTGTCTCTGTCACAGTTATTCACCTCTGCCATTGTAGTAAGAAAGCAGCCATAGGCAATATATAAAGAAGTGGGCATGGCTGTGTTTCAATAAAACTTTATAGATATTGGGGGCGCCTGGGTGGCTCAGTGGGTTAAAGCCTCTGCCTTCAGTTCAGGTCATGATCCCAGGGTCCTGGGATCGAGCCCCATATTGGGCTCTCTGCTCAGCGGGGAGCCTGCTTGCCCCCCTCTCTCTCTGCCTGCCTCTCTGACTAATTGTGATCTCTCTCTGTCAAATAAATAAATAAAATCTTAAAAAAAAACTTTATAGACATTGAAATTTCCATTTAATATAATTTTCACATGTCACAAGATACTCTTTTTTATTTGTTTTTGGCTACTTGAAAATTCAAAGCCTTCTTAGCTTTTGAGTGGTACAGAAAGAGTCAGTGTGCCATTTTTGGCTAGTGGATGATAATTTGCCAGTCTCTGTTCGAAGGCATCAGGCTCAAGCAAACACACTGAAATATGTATTATTATGAATTACGTTCTTTTATTTCTTCTTTACTTTATAGCTCAAGTACTGTGTTAATTGTTTGAAATGGATCTGTGTAATTACTATCAACAAAAATTTTTGTAAAACAACTTGGTAAAAATATTTAATGTAAAACATATTTTTGAGTGCTGTGAAGATCCTCACTTGTAATGGTAAGATATACACCAGAGTGTGGCTTCTCATTGTGGATTTGAATTGTATTTCCCTGATGTCGAGTGATGTGGAACACTTTTTCATGTGTCTGTTGGCCATTTGGATGTCTTCTTTGGAGAAATGTCTGTTCATATGTTCTGCCCATTTCTTCACTGGATTACTTCTTTTCGGGCGTTGAGTTTGGTAAGTTCTTTATAGACTTTGGGTACTAGCTCTTTATCTGATGAGACATTTGCACATATCTTCTCCAATTTTGTCAGTTGTTTTTTGGTTTTGTTGACTGTTTCCTTTGCTGTGAAAAAGCTTTTTATTTTGATGAAGTCCCAATAGTTCATTTTTGCTTTTGTTTTTCTTGCCTTTGGAGATGTGTCTAGCAAGAAGTTGCTGCGGCCAGGGTCGCAGAGGTGGCTGACTGTGTTCTCCTCTAGGATTTTGATGGATTCCTGTATCACATTTAGATCTTACATCCATTTTGAGTTCATCTTTGTGTATGGTGTATGAAAATGGTTCAGTTTTGTTCTTCTGAATGTGGCTGTCCAGTTTCCCCAAGATCATTTGTTGAAGAAACTGTCTTTTTTCCATTGGACATTCTTTCCTCCTTTGTCAAAGATCAGTTGACCACAGAGTTCAGGGTCCATTTCTGGGCTCTCTATTCTGTTCCATTGATCTATGTGTCTGTTTTTGGGCCAGGACCATATTGTCTTGATGATGACAGCTTTATAATAAAGCTTGAAGTCGGGAATTGTGATGCCACCATCTTGGTTCTCTTTTTCAACATTCCTTTGGCTATTCTAGGTCTTTTCTGGTTTCATACAAATTTTAGAATTATTTGTTCCAGCTCTTTGAAAAATGTTGGTGGTGTTTTGATAGGGATTTCACTGAATGTGTATATATTGCCCTGAGTAGTATAGACATTTTAACAATATTTGTTCTTCTAATCCATCAGCATGGAATGTTTTTCCATTTCTTTGTGTCTTCCTCAATTTCTTTCATAAGTGTTCTATAGTTTCCAGAGTACAGATCCTTTACCTCTTTGGTTGGGTTTATTCCTAAGTATCTTAGTTTTTGGTGCAATGAGATGCTACCTCACACCAGTCAGATGTCTAAAATTAACAAGTCAGGGAACAACAAATATTGGTGAGGATGTAGAGAAAGGGGAACCCTCTTACATTGCTGGTGGGAATGCAAAGTGGTGCAGCCACTCTGAAAAACAGTATGGAGGTTCCTCAAAAAGTTAAAAATAGAGCTACCCTGTGACCCAGCAATTGCACTACTGGGTATTTACCCAAAAGATACAAACATAGTGATCTGAAGGGGCACCTGCACCCCAATGTTTATAGCAGCAATGTCCACAATAGCCAAACTATGGAAGGAGCCTAGATGTCCATCGACAGATCAATGGATAAAGAAGATGTGGTATGTTTATACAATGGAATATTACTCAGCCGTCAAAAAAGAGACCTTACCATTTATAATGACATGGATAGAACTAGAGGGTATTATGCTAAGTGAAATAAATCAATCAGAGAAAGCCAGTTATCATATGATCTCACTCATATGTGGAATTTAAGGAACAAAACAGATGATCATAGGGGAAGGGAGGGAAAAATAAAATAAGACAAAATCAGAGAGGGAGACAAACCATAGGAGACTTTAATCGTAGGAAACAAACAGGATTGCTGGGGGAGTGGTGCAGATGGGGTGAGTGGGTGATGGGCAGTAAAGATGGAACATGATACAAGAAGCGCTGGGTATTATAAAAGATTGATGAATCACTGAACTCTACCTCTGAAACTAATAATACCTATATGTTAATTAATTGAATTTAAGCAAAATAAAATTAGAAAAAAAAAGTGAGTGTGGCTTTCCCAACAACTACCTCAGAGAATAAAGAAAGACGGTCGTATTTATGGTTTAAATTGCTCAAGAGAGTCAACAATCCTGATTGGGTAAAATTTGGTGGGTTTTGATAAAACTCAGAAATTCCTGTCTTTGATAAGGAAAAACAATCCTGGCTTATCTCTAATGCAAAGCTGTTAGGTGGTGTCCGCAGTTCAATACTTTTGGGCTTTCAGATAAGTATATCTCTTCCAGACTTGGGATATGCTTCATATCCAGCAGAGTTAGGCTAAAGTTTAGTGAAATATCAGAGTGGTTTTTGTTTGTTTGTTTGTTTGTTTGTTTGTTTTGTAGGGTCTACTGCCTATGAGTTTTATTTAATTATCAAGGTGGCATTAAAAAATGTTTGTTTCAAAAATGGGTCACTCTAGGGGTGCCTGCTGGCTCATTCAGTTAAGCGCCCAACTCTTGGTTTGAGCTCACATCATGATTTCAGGGTCCAGGGATTGAGCCCCACATTGGGCTCCACACTAAGCACAGAGTTGGCTTGACATTCTCTCTCTCCCTCTGCCTCTTCCCCCTCTTTCTCCCTCTCTCTGTCTAAAATAAATAAATAAAATATTTTTTAAAAAAATGGGCCACTGGGTGTGAGTGCATTAGGTGAATCTGATCTCACAGATTTCTAAACCTTTGGCATTCCCCTCTTTCTCCTATGATGACTGTCCAATGATCTGGGAAGGAAGGGGAGGGTGGATTATGCAATATTAAGGCTCAGAGGAAGCACCAGAATTGCTCTGAACCAGAGAAATGTCCACTGTCCGCCTACTTGATAAATTTTCCAACCATATAACTTTTGATCTGGTTTCTTAAGTCAGTCTGGTGTAAAGAATTCCTAGCTGATTTCAAATTTCCTTGTCTTTCCCTAGTGCCACAAATACTTGGAGTCTCTCCAGCCTTTGCTTTGAGGCCACTTCTCCCTTTGCCTGCTCCCCCAGAACAGATCACTGGCCTTCCACTCAGTTGCCTTTAGGATTGTCCTCAAGGGCTGTGGGAGCTCTATCCATTCCACATGGAAATAGGATCCTGGGTAACCCATTGTCCTTTGATGCGTCCCAAGCCCTAGACTTGCGCTGGGCAACTTGGAGCAGGATATCTTTCCAGAACCTTGAGTAGGGTCTTTTTCCCTCTTCTCTTTGTGTCTGAATACCTCAAACCCCACTGCCCTCTCCAGAAGAAGTGGGTTTCTCTTTCACTCATCCTGTGTCATAAACCGTTCTTCATCACAAAACTGCTAGCCTCAGTGCCCTTAAAGTCCCGGCAGAAAAATATCTTCCCCCTACTATGGGAGACTTTTGGAGCTAAGCGATGGAAACTCATATAGAATCTAAAGGAATTTGGTAAATCCTCTGTCTATGCAAAGCTGTGCTTTCAAACGCATTATTTTGAACCATGTTCTCTCACTGAGAATGATGCATCTGAAGGAGACCGAAAAAAAAAAAAACCAACAAAATTTAAAGAAATGCAATGCAAAGCAAGGTTTAACATTAGCTATATCCCCGCTGAATTACAAATACAGTGGAAGTTACCTTTTTTTCTTCCCGTGGGACTGACAGTTGACATGTGGATGCGGATCAGTAGTGGAAGCATCCACACAAATGTATCTGCCTCCAGCACTGTGGGGCAGATACCCACTTGTAATAGAATCACCCTAATCGCCCACCAGCTGTCATCAAGGTCAAAGATTATCCTGAGGTCCCATCTGCAGGAGCTCACAGATCCCTGTGCTATGTATGTTCCAATTTCTTGGGCTTTCCCCTTTTTCTCCCTATGATGGCAAAAACTCTCACCATGATGATTCATATTCTTGTTTTCATTTTCCAGGGGCCCTAGGAAAGCTCTTCCCTCTTCTAGCCTCACCCTTTTAGCAAATGCCCTACCTCCTCTCCATTCCAAAGGGTTTCTGCACCCCTTGTCTGGCTTGTGGATGGGATCAGCCTCCTCTCCTCGATCCCAGTGCGGGCTGTGTGTATATGCGTGTGTGTGTACACATGTGTGTGTGTGTGCTCATGGGCTTGGGTAGGTGTAGAAAAGAGATGAGTTGGAGGTAGAGACAAGTGACAGGGGAATTGAAATAGACTTAAATACATAATTACTGTCTATTTCCCTTCAATAGAAATCTCCTGAGTGCTTTTTGATAAAAATGCGATGACAAGATATTTCCAGGTTAATAATCTATCTGAAAAAAAAAAAAAAAAAAGGAGAGGGAGGGTGGCTGTTGCGTTTTGTAGGATAACTTGTGGGTAGAAGAAGATTATTGTATGATGTATATTCATTCTTCTTCCACAGCCAGAACACAGGGATCCTTGGCTAGCCTCTCAGTGTCTCTCCCCTTTTTTTCCCCTATACAGCTCAACAGAATTCACCAAAAATCCATGAAGGCTGGTGGGCGTACAAGGAGGTGGTCCAGGGAAGCTTTGTTCCAGGTAAATACACATTTATTCATATTCTTTTATTTTTTTAAGGAAGGAATTTGAATGAAATATAATATTATTTCCAGAATTTTGCCTTTGCTGCATGGCAAGGAAGGCATTGCAAGGAGCAGCAGCGTCTCTTGTACGTGGTGGATATAAGACTTTTCCATCAAAGGCCAGTTTGTTCTAGAGTGGCAATTTCACCAAGACCCCCTTGCTCCATGGGAGCCTACGTCCCAAGGCCTTTCCCTCTACAGGTGGCTCTGCCAGCAGGAGGGCTGTGGAGAACTAAGGGTTGAAGCTCTGTTGGAATTTCGTTAAATAAGAAAGAGCCTTTTTTTTTTTTTTTTTTTTAACATTAATGGAACAGGAAGTCTGGAAAGGCTGACCATGACAGTGAAGCTTGCTGGGATGCATGCTGTCACTGATGTCACTTGAGTAGCATCTGTGGTCAGAACTCAGCAGATTGGGCCAAGCATGGGCTAAAAATAACGGCTGGAGTGCATGCTGTCACCATGGGGGTAGGGGAGAGAACTGAAGGCAAATTAGAGCCAGAAACATACAATGGCTTTAGGGTCAAAGGAAGCCTGGAGGGTCCTTGTGGCCCCCCACCACTCTGACCTTAATCACAGCCCTCCCCCTTCTGCTGTATCAGACTTTAGTGGGGAAGAGAGGCCAGAGGAAAAAAAAAAAACAAGAATGTTAAGGAGAAGGATGGATGGAAAGGCGGGTGAGATATTTCAAAGTATTTTTAACTGACTAGATGTGGGACGGGAAGAAATGCAGCACATGGGAGGAGTCGGTATGGAGTCCTCACTTAGGGGCTAAGCACGGAGAGCTTCCCGGGTCGGTGGAGATCCTGGTACTTGGTGGCAGGTGGGAAGAGCCACGTCCCCAGCTCAACCCTGTTCAACCTTGGCTGCTGTTATGTTCTGGTTCTTCTATGGAGTTCCTAATGTCAGCTGTGCAGAGCACAGCAAGTTACTAAACCCCTCCGAGCATCATCACTTTCTCAGCTGAACTCTAGGACAGTAACCCATGCTCTTCGGGCTTTCCGGTAGGAGGAGAGCAGCTTGGTGAAGGTGTGGTGGGCAACCCACGAAAAGGCCAGCTGACTGCCGAATAGCCTCATAAATTAAGATTATTAACTGTACAAATTTACTCTGGCACATTTATTCCTTGGCCCAGTGGGCATAGATACTGGTCTTGATTAGTTCACCCAGAAATGATCAGGTTTCTAATAATAACCTTGTAACAACTTGATTGTCACAAGCTATATTCATGTGGCCTGATCTAGATACATAGCATTTTATCCTTAACAGCTGGGGACATCCCTTGCCAGTGGATGGCATGCTCATTGTTTTTCTGAGGAATCCGCTTCTCAAGTTCAAAATGTCCCAGAAACCGCATTCATACATATATGCTTTGCAATTGTGGAATTAGAACCACAAAGGGCATTCCCTCCAGGTTATCATGAGTTTTTCAAACTAAGAATATCCTCTGTAGTGACTGAAGTGCTTGTGGATATAAAACTGAATAAACCCTGCAAAGTGTTGCTTTCCTGCCCCACATTTTATTTTTGATGTTTCCCCCTCCGTTGGCACATCCCTTCTCTACACGTGTCCAAAGCCCACTTTTGATTTGGTTGTTGGTTCTGAGACAGCCGCAGGAAAAGTTTTATTTTTCCTTTTATGTGTTGATTTAAAAAAAAGCTGAACTTTCCCTCTTTGCCAGCTTCATGGGAGATAATATGTATAAAACGGGCAGTGTGGGCTCTCGCGTCAGACACACCGGGTGCTGAGTGGGGGTCCTACGGCTTCCTCCTGGTAGTTCTGTCCGCAACTTGCCTACCACTTCTCAGTTATTCATCTGTTAAAATGGAGATAAGGACCCAATCAGCCTTATGAGGTTTTGTGAGGATTAAATTATAGAACGCAAGATAAGGTGCTTATGGTTATGTCTGACCCATGGTGTGAGTACAAGTCAGTCGTTCTGGGTATTACTGTTATTATTTTATGAATAGCAGTACAATTGGATGTTTGCTACTTTTCTGCTTGGGCAAAGGCAGAGAGCTATTAACTGGAAACCTAATAATGTAAGTGAGGGTCTCTTATGATGCGTGGAACACGGAAGATGAGCAGTGATTGTTCCTTGGGTTGGTGAGATCAGCTGGTCTCTAGGCAGTGGCCAACTGAGAATTGACTTTATCATCCTCTGCCTTTAATGGTCCCAAAGGCCCTTTGGCCTCCTGGGAAAGAAGCCTGGTATCTGATGGTTTTACTTCTTAAGCTTTGGGGTACTCCACTCTGTTAAGAGAGGAGTCATAAGAATTTTTGAATTAAGTAATTGGACCTGAGGCTCTAGCCTCTGACACATTCCAAATGACCTCCTTTATCTGAGTTGGTGCTCAGGGCGAACCGTGGACCCTTTATCTCTTATTCTCATTGCAGAGTATAAGGTCGAGAGTGCTCTTTGCTTTGCCACCGGGACTTTCTCTTAAAGAAGAGGACTTTGTATGACCAGACTATTTGAGCAAGTTTTATTGCCTCATAAGTTCTTTGCAAGAATATCTAGGAAAAAGTTGGCGTAACAGTTGTGAATCTGTGATTTCAACAAAGCTTGTGGTGCCTAGAGATAGAGGATTTCTTTAGCCATGGCAAGCACAAGGTTGATTTAGTAGCAGAATAACCCCCTTTGGTCAGTTCAAAGCACCTGTAGAGTCGCCCCCCCTCCCCCCGCGATGGGAAGCACCATGCTTGGGGCTATTGATATCAAGAGGTGACTGATTCACGGTTCTGATTCAAGGGTGAACCCACCATCTAAAGAGGAAGATGAAACTTGGAATGAATGTAGTTCTTGTGCGGCTTCCTTAGCATTAAATTAACCATGGAATGGCCTCATTTTCTTACGTGAGACAACTGAGCTCCTACTGTTGGTGGTGTTTTGAGTCAGGCTTTCTGTTCCTTGCAGCCCAAACAAAGCATTCTCCCAGACTCAGGGTTCTCAGTGGAGAAGGAGGAAAAGGTGGACAGTATTGGAGGGAACTGCACTGGCAGAGTGGGGTGGAAATGCACGGTGGGTGTGGAGAGTATCTACAGAGCAGGGCGCACCATGGGGTCATGCATGAGGAGGCCAGCATGTCCTCAGGGGCCAGGCCATGAGAGTCTTTGTGTTTTGTGTTCAAGAACTTACTTTCCCTTTGAGAATGGAGGAATTATAAGACCTCACTAACCTCTGGAGAGACATAACCAAATGCGTATTTTAAAAAGTCAGCTCTGGGAGCACCTGGGTGGCTCAGTGGGTTAAGCCTTTGTCTTCAGCTTGGGTCATGATCTCGGGGTCCTGGGATCAAGCCCCGCATCAGGCTGTCTGCTCGGCAGGGAGCCTGCTTCCTCCCCACCTCTCTGCCTGCCTCTCTGTCTACTTGTGATCTCTGTCAAATAAATAAAATCTTAAAAAATAATAAAAAAATAAAAAGTCAGCTCTGGCTATAGTAATGGAGATGTAGTTCCTTTTGATAAGAGTATTAGAGAGGTGCCTGGGTGGCTTAGTCTGTTAGACATCTGTCTTTGGCTCAGGTCATGATTCCAGAATCCTGGGTTGGAGCCCTGCATCAGGCTCCCTGCTCAGCAGGGAGTCTGCTTCTCCGTCTGCTGCTCTCTCTCTTTGTCAAATAAATAAAATATTAAAAAAAAAAGAATATCAGAGGCACAAGGATTCATAGGGAGCTTTTTTTCTTTCTTTTTCTTTTTTAAATCATTCAGGTAAGAGATGGCAGGCACCTATACTAAGATAGTGAGGAGGAAAACAAAAACAAAAACAAAAAACCCACAAAAACTCTAAAAAACAAACCCAAAGACCAAACCCCAAAGCTGGGTTAATCATTTTATTGAAGGATTCGGCATAGGGTTTGTTTAGTGACATTTAAAGTATATCTCTCTTTCACACATGTAGATAACACATTTATCATTTAGCATAAATATACACATTTAACACATTTCAGAAAAATTTGTGCCAAATACTGTCTTTTCACATTCCGTTTATCCAAAACAGTAGGGGAATCAGCATTCTCTATAGAGGAGGCACTATGCTAGGAGCTGGGGTTTTAAAAAAGAGATGGCCTCTGACTTCTTTCAGTCTTGTGGGAGAGACAGTGGCTCAAAGTAAAAAGGGGCCTCTCAGCCCAGCACCTGCTTCACGTGTCTGGCTGTGTTTGGAATGGGGACTTTCTCTCTTTTCAGACTAGGACGTCAGAGTCGAGAGGCTTGCTTCTGTTTGAAAGCTTTAAATCATGACACTTGGGGTATATGTTTTTAGAACTTTATGAAACCCTAGAGCAGGTGGAGAATCTCTCTTCCGTCATCACCTCCTAAGGCTTGCTCTCAGGGTGCTGAACCTGACCTCTTAAACTCACTCATCCAGCAGGCTTTCTCCAGATGCTTCCTTTCTGCTTCGTCCTTGGTGGGTAATGACACAAAGGGGGCACCTGGATGGCACAGCTGGTTAAGCTGCTGCTAACTCTTAGTTTCAGTTTAGGTCTTGGTCTCAGTGTCATGAGATCGAGCCCCGCATCAGGCTCCATGCTCCGTGCGGAGACTGCTAAAATTTCTCTCTCCCTCGCCCTCTGCTCCTCCCCCTGCATGTGCGTGGGTGCACTCTCTTTAAAATATATAAATAAATCTTTAAAAAAAGACACAAAGGACATTCCACTGTGGTCCCAAGATGCTGAGGATAGTGAGAGAGCCAGAGATAGGTAACTATCCATGACATGACAGCGTTGCCAGGATTCCCATGGAGGGTGTCTGGGGTTGCCCATTTTGAGAGAGCATGGAGGGCTTCCCCTCCAATGCAGTGCCTAAACTGGGTCCCCAAGGGTACCATGTGTGATTGTGCTGTGGCAGAAAGGGAAGAAATGATGCTTCAGAAAGGGGAGGGAGGTGGGCAAAGGCCTGGAGGCTGGGAAGAGAGAGGCTCACTGTGCAAGGAGAACTCGGGGGACTTAGGGCTGAGGA